TAAGCCACCGGGTCTGGGACTCGAACAGCAGTCAACTATGTGGGAGTCCAGCGGCAGAGCCATTATGCTAACTGCTGGTCCCCCTGTAGGATAATCTCCTAAAATCTAAGTAAACGGGGGCGGGGGGAACCTGCTTCTGAGATGTTGGAGCAGAACAAATTACATCTAGTGAAGTGTTTTAGTGAGTCTCGTGCTACACACTATTGGTAATGCATGCCACTTCTCCACCTGCAGGGGAAGAGGCTCAGTTCTTACTTAACGCAAAGACTGAAGCGTTCGGGGTGCAGGTGTGAGCAGCGGAGTCAGTCTGGGCTCAGGAGACGCGAACGCAGCAGCAGCTGTGTACTCCCACAGTCCCGGCTTAGGGATTCCACCTGGACGTTCTTGCTTGACAATGGTGCGAAGACCACACAGGCTCACCCTCCTTATAAGTCGAGGGGCCTCTGCGTGAAATGGATGTTTAAAGGTATTTATGAATTTCCTCCAGGGTCAGACAGAATGCGATTCCAGCTCTGGCCGCAGCCCCATCCGGCCCGGCTGCAGCGTGCTCCACGTGTTCTGAAGGAAGCCTGTGCTGATCTGGGCCTTCCCACGGGATCGCCCTGCCCCCTGGCCCTGCGTTTAGCTTCTTCTTGCCTTGGCGGTATTTTCAACCGATAGTGGGTTTAGCTGTAATGTAATCACGAGGGGCACTGGGTTGATGTCTGCTGTCTGGGGGGAAGTCGATCCATTCCTGTTCACCTCGCCACCTCCGAGGCCCACTTGGAACCTTCTAGGTCTCCCTGGGGCCCCTGCTCCAACAGGGGTGCCCCACCGCAGAGGGCATCCGGCAGTGTCTGAAAACGTTTCTGGCTGGCCCAGCCCAGGGCAGTGTGGTGGGCATCTGGACAGAGGCTGGGGCTGCTGCTCGGTTAGGGTGCACCCCTAAGAACTGGCCCACTCCAGGTGCCGGCAACACCCGGTCGGGAGCCCTGCCGAGAGCGACCCTGCGAGCCTCCCTGCCCCCTTGCAGCACAGAGAAAGCTCTCTTGGGACACCCCCTGGTGGTGATGTGTCGCCACTTTAACCCTGACAATGGCCCCAGGACTTCACCAAAGCATAAGTGGGGGCAGGCGGTTGATGAAGGAGGGCCCTTAGGTTTGACAGATGGGGACACAGGCCATGCACGACTGCCCAAGGGCATTTTGAACACTCAGGGTTCTTTACTTTGGGCTTATCTAAAGTCGCCCAGATCAGAATTAGAGCACAGCTTGCTGGTGCCCTGGACACTGACAGCGGGTCTGAACCCCGACCCGGCAGCTCTCTGCCCGTTTTCTGCACTGCCTTTGCCTGCCCAGTTGTGATGTCTGCTGATGAGGGAGAGATGGCAGCTAAAGGTGGATGTGACCATCTGTGGGCGTTCTGATCGGTGAGGCCTTTGATAATCAAGTTCCGTTCAGACGTGACCACCCCGTGGGCGTTCTGATCAGTCAGGCCTTAGATAAAGTTCGTTCGGGTTTCTGGCGCCATTCAGCCCGGCGTCTTGGAGCTCACAGCCAGCAGTTTCCATCCTACAAGACATCTTACATACTGAAATGAAAACCTTATCTTTCCTTTAGCTAGAGTTTTAGAGTTAAAGGCCCTCATTCATGGCCAATGCTGTTGATTACCAAAGTCTGAGGTCTTACCCCTCAACATGGGCCATTACAAGTGAATGGATCATGCATTTCAAGAACTTTAGAAAATACACTTGACTTGTTTGTTCAGCTCTTATTATTTTTCAGTTTGGAAAATACTCACTTTTTCTTTAGCAGAAGGGGAAACCGAGGACCCATCCCTCTAGGGACCCCTGCTCGGTTTCAGTCCCCCTATTTCTTTGGGCAGCCTCTGAGTCCTGAGGGGAAATGGGTGCTGACCTACCTGGCTGCTTCTTGCTGAACAGGGACACAGTTTCCGGTTAGGGTTAGAGGAAATGGCTCTTCCCTTCAAAGTACTCAGGACCCTCCTGCATTGTCAACACCTACGACTAGCTTCCGCTGTTACGTCCCCAACCAGAAGCTCTTGTGAATGCCATATGCCCCGAGAAGCAGCCGGTTGCCGGCCTGTCTCACTAGCAGCCGGTACTCAAGACCTCATCTGACCCAAGATCTGTATGTGCACCATGAATGCTGCCGTGGCGCAAATTCTCCCGAGAGCCAAGATGCCATTCAGAGCCACGCTATGGTCCAAGACGCATTCTGCCGATGAAACACGGTGAAACCGCGGGCCGAGGCAGTCTGCTGGGACTGCCTGGTGCAGTCTGCGCACAGTGACTACAGTGACGCACGGCTACTGTGTTGGTGAGGGAGTCTCAGACTGACCACCCGCAGTTTGTAAAAGTCAAGAAAAGCCGTGTAGCTTTCATGAATCAAAATCCAAAATGTTAAGAAAAATTTGCTGAAGACTTAAAGCCAGGAAAAAATGTACAATTCTGTCCAAACAGTAGGTAGATACTAAAACCTCACAACAACAAATATGGGCAGAGCTAAAATCTAGTGACAAGTGCATTACTGTTTTCTTCTGAAATATTTTTTTCTTCTCTCCATTTCTCCTTTTACCAAAGAGAAGCATAGTAAAACTAACTTATTTGCAAAAAATAAGTTTACTCTCAATGTGGTCTGTTTCTTGCACAAAGCCCGTCAGAATACTGAGTTAGTTGGCTTTACCAGAACGTCAGAGTAGACTCTCAAAGCCTCCCAAGGCTACTGAGCCGAGCCAGGAATTCATCCTCAGATGTGCCTTTCAGTACCTGTACTTGAAGTTTTGGGGCCTGTCGGGAAGGGAGTCTTTACTTACCTGCCAGGCAGAGCTCTTTACAGTTCCAGGCAATGTTTGCAAGGGCTTCTGTTTTCATAGTTTAAAAATGTTGGTTTTCTTTGTCTGTGTTTACCTTACACTTGGTTATGTGAGCTGTCTAGTTTGTTTTTGCCATATGAAAGTTGGTGTCCTCACACTCCTTGTCGAATGACGCCCCCTGGCCCTGCTGCCTGGCACGGGCGTCTCTACCCAGTGCTCACTCCCTAATCCTATTTCCTGCTGTCCAGGCTGTCCTGCTGTCATTTGCCCAGCCTACCTTTGTTATTTTATATCAAAATTTAATGACATTCTTGTGTTACGATATACCACGTGTAAGCATTATGCTGAAAGATTCTGGAGGGCATACCACCGTTTCCCAAGCCCTTCTCTGCTGCAGAGCAAGCACATCGTCCCAGGTTCCTTCTTCCCTTGTTTTGAATGCTCCTGTGGTGAATAATTTTGAGTATAAAACATTTACATATTTTTGGATTATGTCCTTTGGATAGTTTCCCAGAAATAGAATTACTGAGTCAAAGGGCATGAATATTTTTAATGCTTTTAATTCATGGCATATATTTATTTTTAAAATTAAAGTGCAGAAAGATTCTGGTATGTTCCTGTGCTCCGCGATGCAGCGGCAGTGAGCTGGGCTGTGGCAGGGAAGGGCTGGGAAAGGCTGCCCTGCGGAAGCTCCAGAGGGAGAGTCCCCTTTTTGGTTGTCTTGTTTCACATTTATTTCCTTAAATTTCCAGAGGGTGTGTGCACTCACCAGAGATGAGATAGAGAAAGAGAGAATGAGAGAGACCTGGCCCTGGGGTGTGGTCATGCACAGTCCCGCCCACGCCCTGAGCAGGGTTTCCAGGCTGCTGGGGCTGGGTCCAGGCTGTGGCTGGCCGAGTGGGACGTGGTCCCTGCAGTGCTGGGGACCTACCAGCCCTGACAGGCTTCCCTACCTTTATAGACCCAGAGAGCAGTTTATCACGCTGGGCTCCCCACCAAGCAGGCAGTGGGAGCTCGGCTCCCAGGAGCACAGCCTCTGATGTGCTGGAGGACAGGCAGGGCCTGAGTGCTTCCCAAAGAAAGAGCGGGCTGCAGCGAGAGCAGGTGGGCTCCTGATGGTCTCATGGGAACAGGAAGCTGGATGGAGTGCCAGGAGGAAGACAGGCTCTGCTTCGCTGGTCCAGAGGCCCCAAGGAGGGGAGCGTGGCCTCGGCAGAGGAAAGGTCCCAGGGTAGGAGCCCAGAGATCTGAGCAAAGGGAGTGGGGGAGTGAGCAGAGGGAGCTGGTGCTGGCACACTGGCCGTGGGCCATGACAGTCACAGGGGCGGACACAGTCTGTGGGCCTTGTTCAAGGGCCACCCCACCTCCTCTGTAGGCACAGGTCACAGGGAAGCGGGGGTGGGGGGGACAGGGATAAGCAGTAACAGCCCCTGATGTCCAGATCATCACTGAAGGCCCTGACAAGGGTGGTGTGGGAGGACAGTGGTTAGATTCTCCCTACATTCAGGTATGAGGTGATGGAAAGAGGAACCTAAAACATGCTCTAAGATGCTGGCTGGTGACCAGGAGGCTGGAATTGCTTGACGGAGCTGGGGAAGATGGAGAACAGGCTCAGGCTGGGTGGGAGGCGGGATGGAACTGGCCCAGCTTTGGCCCTGGCAAGTCTGCAGCGCCTCTTGTGGGAAGCGCAGGCATCCCCGAGACAGCAGAGCCACCATCGTGGAGGCCCAGGGAGAAGCTGGGCTTCATGTTCTCGGGGAGAGGATAGGTCCCTGGTAAACACACGTGGAAACTGAAGAGGGGAGCAGTCACCCATCATCAAGATAAACCTATTCTTTTCTTTGTAGGATCACTAAATATTCCGGGTTTCTTCTATTTTTCTTTGTGAACAAAACCCTTTGTCCACTTTCTCCAAGTAGGAAGAGGGGAAACCTTGAGTTTTCTTCTCCAGTGGCTCCCTGAGGCCTTGGTCCTGGCGTAGACCTCCAATTTTTAGCGGTGACTTAAAGAATGATTCCCATCATGTGACCAACTATTCAGAAACAGCTGGGTGGGTCACAAAAATAAGCTCTTGCAGAAACCTCTGCTCCGCTGTGTTCACGCGGGAACAGGAAGCACGAGCTGTGTGACAGTGAGCTGCTCTGGATTCTTGTGAGCTGCTGCCCCACTGCTGCAGTCTGTGTCACATGGACTCTCACGCCAAGACGGTGACCTCGGATGGGCCATCAGATGGGCCGCGGCCCGTCATCAGCAAGAAGAGTCTCACCGTCCACGTCAGTCTCCACAGCCTTGCTTGGCACGACTTCTTGTGTCCGAGAGCCTCCATGTTGGCGTCTGACTGTGACACGAAGACCACTCCTCACACCGGACACTCCACCAGAGCAGGCCATGGGTCGGACATGGTGGCTGGAAACTCGAGTTTAGGGACCAGAGCAGAGTGGATTCCAGCGTTGCCACTTCCTGGCTCTGTGGCCTTCACACCTTGCTGACCTCCTGGGGTCCCATGTCTCATCTAGGCTGAGGTCCTGAAAGAACAGGCCCGACAGACGCCGGGAGCTGCAGACTCTGCAGACATGTCCACCAGTGTGCTCGGTAGAGTAAAAGCCCCGGCCGCAGGCAGTGGACGGAGGAGAGAGACCATACTCAGCCTTCCTGAGAACAGCGCTGCTGTGTTCCTGTGGGTTTGAGAAGGCAGTGCTTTTGTCCTTGTGGTTTGTAAGAGGTTTTTGCCTTAGGGCATCCACATGCTGAAAATAGAGGGGGAGAAAGAGAGAGAAAGGAAAGTAAGAAATCACCCCCTGCGGGGGGGCACAGTTCTGCTGGGGGAAGCAACTTCCACCCTATGACGCCGACACCTGCGTCTGCGTGTAACCCCAGAGTGTGGTGGGGTTCTGGCTCTGGGCTGTCTGCAGGAGGAGCGCCCTGGGCACTTGGCCCACTCAGTTGCTTGGGTGTTGAACAGTTAAGATAGATGGTTGGAAGAATATTCTGGAAAGAACCAGAGGGGAGTGGTTCTGAGAGCCCAAAGTTAAGAGCCATGGAGGACCCTGTGTTTGACCTCTATCTCTGCAGTTTGAGAGCTGTGTCCTCTAGCAGAGATGGGACTGCTCTGAGCTTCAGTCTCCTCAGCTACAACATGCAGCTGACCGCAGTATTTAGAGGGATGCTGGGAGGTGCTAAGGAGTTTATCCTAATGTCGATGAGTCCCGGATGGTGGTGGGCACACAGCAAGTGCTAGGGACCTGCTGTGTTACGAAATGTGTGTGCATCAGGAGACCATGTTTTGAGAAAGCATAAAGATTAAAGATTAGGGATTGAGTAGACTGTACCCAGTGGTGATGTGAGGGTGGAGCCCACAGCTCGGCTCACGGGAGGGAGGCTCTGGGTTGGATCAGGACATTCCTGAACACATGAGGGCGTGTGTGCACGGTCAGGCCGGCCCGGACCAGGGCTGGATCGCGGTGTGAGAAGCCTCCTTCTTTCTTAGAATAAATGAACGAATGTTTTTAAGTATTAAAGACCTTTGCAGTCCTGGAAAATCAATAACGTGCATGTCCTTCATCCTGAGGGCGACAATGGGAGGATCGGCAGAGGCCTGAGGTCGGGGCCTTCTGTCTCTCGTGTCCATAAATTTGGGGAAAGCGACGTGGCCACACGCCCTCCTGCCTCAGCTGTCCGAGCACAGCCGTTCCCCTGCACTGCCTCCTGAGAGTGGTCAGCTGTGTGTGTGGAAAGAGAGGGCTGCAAGGGAACACACGGTGACAGAGTAACTTTGCGTGTGAGGCCGGGTAGGGCAGGAGTGGCCGTGTTCTCAGAACCACAGAGGTGGGCAGGGATCGCTGCTCTCAGACCCCCACTCTTCACTTCGACCTGTTTAAGTTTATTTTAATTAAAAAGAATCACATTTTCAAGGAGTACAAGCTTTAAGTATCGTTCATTCTTTGGAGGGGGTGTATGTGTACCACGTGACAAGTGGTTGCCATGGTAATTTCTCATTATTGTTGAATTGAAAAATAATTACTCTGGCAAAAATCCCACGTAACCTGTCAGTGCTTAAGTTAAAGATGCCGGGGGCAGCTTCCGTGCCAGGATCGTGTTTTCAGTGGGGAGGGATGGGGCTGGGAACAGGAGAGAGCCCAGGACGGGAGCAAAGTGCTTTTGTGGATTTTTAAATATAATTAAGACTCTCTCCTGCGTCTGACAGGCATGTGTCTCTGGTCCTGACACACGGCTTGGCTGCCAGTGGAACGCAGGCTCACCTGTGAGCCGGGACAAAAGGACTGGGATTTTAGTTGCAGAAATGCATATAAGGGGTCGTTTCGAACGGAGGGGCTTCCATGGTACTTTTGCCTAATTAAAATATATGACAATTGTCAACAGCGCGTCTCCGCCGGTGTCCAGGCGGAGTTAATTCCGTCTTTATTTACCTGGAGATGGTTCTGTGTGACTGTCACTTCCCAACTCTGGGAGAAGCACCCAGTTCCCACACACTGACCTCTGAGAGTCACTGAGCATGCGTAAACTGAGCAGCAGCAGGGACTGCATGCACTGGGCTGCTGGGCAGGGATGCGCCCCGGACGGGAGGCCTTGGCTGGGTGTCTGGAACCAGAGGGCGCCCCTCGACTGGGCGGCTGGGACACAGGCCATGGGCAAGACCCTAGGACTCCCTGCTTTCCTTCCTGAGTCGAGGTTAAGAAATGACCCTCCTGTCACCCTCTTCCTCTAAGAGGACCGTGGGAGAATCCGCTGTTACCGTCTCTCTCCAGTTCTCGTGTGGTCTCGACGTGGAGACGTTCGGCTGTCTCCCGGCAGGGCTGGGCGCTGGTATGTCGGACCGCACTGAGCACGCCCCTTGATGTACTCAGGTTCATGTCGACCCGTGCATCACTCAGACCGGCCTTCCCGACAGGAGCACGGGGGTCTCAGAGAGGGCTGGGTAGGACCAGCGCAGGGCCGCCGCGTCGTGGACGCACGCTGTGGGAGTGCTCCCTGGGCACCTGTTCTGCAAGGCCCCCCCGTTCCAGGTGCTCGACAAGAGCTGGGAAGTGGAGGGAAGGAGTCTTTTCCTTCTGGCTGTCCACAGCTCACAAGGGAGTTGGTGGCTAAGAAGCAGGCAGGAGTGTCGGGTCTGCCAGAGCCCCTCCCAGCTGCACCTGGGCCGTTCCCCAGCCCCCTGCCTCTCATATCAGAACCCGCGTGACTGGTCCCAGAAACTGCTAGACAAAGGTCTCCGGACAACTTCGCAGAGGAGCTCTCCTGAGTGGGGGTTGTGACGGTTCGACAGGAATTTCATTGATTCATTCAGTCATCTTGTTAGCCACAATGACTGGCCGCAAGGTTACCGAGGTGCAGGACCTTTCCTGAGCCGTTGGCCGCCCGCTCGTGCAGTCGGTGTAGACCGCGTGACAGCTCCTCCTCCTGGACCCTGTGGTCTGTGGCGCCTGCCCGGACTCCCTGCCCAGCCCGTGGGGCCGTGGCTCACAGACAACCCTCATCTCAGTCTCGCCTCAGTCCTTTCCTTTCTCCCGGGGACCTCAGGTCAGCTGGGGGCTCCTGGGCTTCTCCTGTCCCCGGTCCACGGTGAGCAGAAGCGCAGAGACCAAGAACTGGGCGCTGCGGGGAGAGGCAGGTGGAACACCTGACTGTGGCAGGCCCTGGCCGTGAGCGAGGCTCCAGGTTCGTGAGCCTCCTTGCAGGCCCTTCACTTTGCTGCCCACGAGGCCAAGGAGCTACTAACCGCCCTGGTGACCGGAAGGCACCTTGGGTTTATAAACAGGCACACGCACAGATTTTTCCTGTAGCGTGTTTCTGAGGTAGTTCTTCAGAACCAGGACTGTCTTCTGCCCTGGAGACAATGTCATGGAGTCGGGAAGGGCATTTCTTCCCGCTTCCCTGTGTCCTGGGCCATCCATCCTCACGGCCACCTGCCGGGTAGCCACTGCTCTGGCCGGGACCCCGGCTTCCTCGAGGGAGGTAGCCCGGGGGCAAGAGAAAGTGAGAAGGGCCACATTGCCCATGGAGTAGTCGCCATGGTGACACCCCAGCCACAGGGGCTGCAAGGAGTCTGAACTGGCACCAAACACTCCCCTTCGCACCCCTCCTGTTCCCGGAATCCCGAATTGCAGAGAAAATGGTGGTGGGCACAGAAGGGCTGGTGGGGGCTGGGACACGCAGGGCCTGCGTGTGGGTCCACGCCCAGTGTACTAGGGAAGTCCACTTGCCTCCCACACCGCCATCTCTGCAGTGGTCGGCGGGCGTCGGTACAAGCACTTTAGCTCACTGACCAGACGATCTTCCTGAGCAACGCCACGGGTGAGGCACTGCGCTCAGGTGGGAGGCGACAGCCAGCTCGGCCAAGGCCCTGCCCACGGGGCCTCTGCCCTGTACGGAGTGGGGACACGTGTGGTCAGACGAGCACGGTGCAGTGACACCAGGGGGGTGTTAACTAGCTCTCGTTTTCCACCTGCGCGCAAACAGGAGTCAAACAGACCAGAGCGTGTCTCCCAGCTAGGTCTCACCAAGCCCACCAAGCTGCCTGCCGACTGCTCACCAGGCTGTCTGGTGAGAGTGGTTTGAGCTCTCTGGGGACAGGGGCCATCCTCATTCTGCCCTGTGTGCCAAGGGCCCGCCCAGAGTTAAGTGCTCAATAAATATTTGTTTTAGAAAGGGAAAAAAAAACAGGGTAGTTTGTATGTGGATCCCTGCATTGCCCCTGGGTGGTTCTGTGTTTACCTTGTTTTACTAAGAAGAGTATTGGCTTCTGGCAATCTGGTGAGAGCCAGAGAAGGGGGTTCTTTCCGAAGCAGAGGCCGGCACCCATATCCCGCGGCTCCTTAATTACTCTTGCTGGGACCGAGGCTCGTTCCTGAGGCCTTCCCGGGCAACAACTGAGTGCTGTCTCGGGCAGAGCACCTTCATGGGGAAGCGAGGCCTGGCAGAGGAGACTGTTCAGTGTGCAGAGGAGACTCCTCCCTGCACCACAACCCACCCCCTGTCTCCCCACAGCTGACAGGCAGCTGTGAGGCGTCTTCTCCTAAATTCTGGCACGAACCAACGATGCTCTGGGAAGGATCATACATGAGCATCTGCGAGGAACTCGGGGCTGGTCAGAGGACGAGGTTGGTTACGGGCTCCTCAGACACTCTGACTCTCCTCTCCTGTTACAAGAGGCCCCTCCCCTAGAGAACAGCAGATTCCAATGGCCTGGACCTGGGCCGACTCCAGAGTGCTTTCTGGATGAGCAAGAGAAAACTCAACCAAGACAACAGTTCACAAGGCGGCCTGCATGCTGCCAAGCTGCTCCAAAGCCATCATTTTAGTTCCCGCGTGGCTACCCATCATCGTAAGACAACTGTGGAGAGCAGTCTCCGTGCACAGACGGTCCCGTGTGCGTAGGCCTGTCCACGCGTGTCCACATGGCAAACCTCCGTCTTGAGGAGGGAAGTCTGCCTAGAGGAGAGCTAACTTATGTTTAGACACCCTCCTTAACCTGGTTGTAATATTGTCACTTCTGCTTGTAAAAATGGTTCTTAAGGAGCCGAGACAGAGAGGAGCCAAATGTATCTCACATTAAACGCAGACCTTTAGTTAAAAACATCGCCTGTGCTCCAGAGTGGCTTATTAGCTCTCCCTGAAAGTGTCCTCTAGAATTAACTTCCACTCAGTTCGTGCTAGCCCGCCTGAACTGGAATACGGTCCCCGTTTGAGGCCATTGATGCGAAGAATGACCATGCACCCGCCACATCCTCCTGGAACACCCACACAGATGCTAAGTAACCAGCAAGCTGTGACTGCGATTTCTTTCTCTTCTTTTTCTTTTCTCTGTGAGAAATTTTCTGCTCTTGCCTGTTAAATGAATGATCTGTCTTTTTGCAGGACAGTGACAACCTCTGGTGGGACGCCTTTGCCACTGAATTTTTTGAAGATGATGCCACATTAACCCTTTCATTTTGTTTGGAAGACGGACCAAAGCGATACAGTAAGAAAGAAGTTTATTTTTCTAATATTCCATCTTTCTGTGCCTGTTGGAAAACTGCAGGGATCTTCAGGGAATAGCACAGCCCGACGGCCCGATGGCCTGACGGGCTGACAGCCCTGCCTCCGCCGCTGACAGCGCTCCGGCTCGCTGTCAAGGCGTGGTCACTGGTGGCAGCAGTGGGCTGGGAGGACTCTCCTTCGAGGCTGGGGATGTCTGGGCACTCGCCTGTTCAGCGCGTCACCGCACTTGGCACTGAGTGAAGGCCATGCTCCACGCCCTCTGCAGCCCCTTCAGCCTGATGGTGCACATGACACCCCGTGTTACATTGCCGAAGGTCCCTGTAAAAACATGTTTCTTCTCATCATCACATCAGCCCCTCCTTCTAACCCTCTTATCAATTAGCTCACGTATTTATCTGACAGGTGCTATCTTTCGGGGAGGGGGGGACCTTGCTTTGAACATACAGTTTGGGATTCGTGTTGACAGAATCACAGTGACTTATCTTCCTGCCAGTGCGAACTCTGTGAAGACCCTCAGATTACAGCCTGTGGCACCTTGGGTAACAGCTGGCCTGTCCTGATTAGGTTCAGCCAGCTTGTCAGAAATCAGGTCTGTTCCTGTGCTATCAGACCAAGAGGCATAGATACGTCAGCACGAAAGCAATTAATGTCCACTTAGATCAGAGACGTGTTTTCAGAAACCAGTGTAGCAGGTGCGAAAGTGCGTCTGAGGGAGACACCCGCTGTCACAGACTGACTGGGAGGCCCCGGCCTGGATGAGGTCATCCGGAGCACTGAGACTGATGGGTGACGCAATCACAAACTTCGACTGTAGACACTACATCTATTTCAGAGCCACTGGGAGACAACTTTCCTTTATTTCGGGGGGGCGTTAGACAACGTGACACTGTTGTAGCCATTGCATGGCTCGTGGATCAATCGCGATCAAATATGCAGATGGCGATCCCGTGCCCGTGGTCGCTCACATGTGCAGACAGTGATCCCGTGCCTGTGGTCACTCACGTGTGCAGATGGCGATCCTGTGCCTGTGGTCACTCACGTGTGCAGACAGTGATCCCGTGCCTGTGGTCACTCACGTGTGCAGATAGTGATCCTGCGCCCGTGGTCGCTCACATGTGCAGACAGTGATCCCGTGCCTGTGGTCACTCACGTGTGCAGATGGCGATCCTGTGCCTGTGGCAGGGAGTGCAGGACATGTGAGACTGAGGAGCCTCTTCAGAGCCATGCATTGTGGGCTTTGGAGGGAACAGGACACAACTCAGAAACTCCTTGGGTTAAGAGGGCCAGGTGGACAGCAGGCAGTGGGCACTCAAGGTGTCTTCACATGTGACAGGATCCAGTCTGGGGCACTGATGAGCCCACTTCTCAGGTCCTGCTGAGGAACTCCTGTGCCCACGGGGTACCCTGGTAGTTGCATGCCCTGGAGAGTGTTCCGGAAGTCCCCAGAGATAAATGAACTCTGCAGTCGCAAAATTAATCCCTCCGCAAAAGGCTTTCTGATCAATGGCGGATGATATCCCACCAAGCAGTCTTCCATCCTTGAAGCTGCCTTGTTTTCTTTTCTGAGGCAGAAGCTCAGATAACTTTGCATTTGAATTATCATTGTTTAATGTTCCTGTGCTTCAACAGCTCCAGAATCCATCACAGCCCAGGAACTAGAATTGCAGTTTTAAGGCTGGTGGTCCTCTGCTCACCCACCCAGTGCTATGGGGGTGAGAGGGCCAGCCCTGCTAGGACCCACCGTGTGTGGGTACGTGCTGACCCACCAAGTGCCTTGGCGGAGCAATGGCCGGCCCGCTAGGACCCACCGTGTGCGGGTACGTGCCAACCCGGCCAATCCTGCCCCAGCTACTTTGTTCCTTGGAGCCAAACATTTCCTAGCAGAAGAGAGACGTGATTGACAGTGCTGAGCCAGACTTGTCAGCCGCCTTGCTGACAGCCCAGTGATGTGTACACGGGCTGACGTGCCCGGACGACAGCTGATTGACAGTGGGCTGGGAGACAGGTGAAGCTTGTTTAGAAGCCAACTGCAGTCCATGCAGTGCCGAGCCGGGGCATAACCATGCCAGTCGGGGTAGCTCACTTCCTGCCAGATGGGAAGACCAGGGGCACCAGTAGCCAGGCTAGTCCCTGATGTCTCCCAGGAGCCAAAGACTTTGCATTTCCGAGGGTAAATGAGGTGTAGCTATCATATTTATATCTTTTTTTTTTTTTTTTTTAAAAAAAGCCCCTCAGTTACACACATGCTAGGTAATTAGAAATATTCTGGACTAGGCCTTCTTCGCTCTACCAGAACAACAAAAAACAACAGAAGAAACTTCCCGCGCCTTCCCACGTCTGCCTTTAGAGGGCGCTGTTGGCTGCGTGGTCCGTGTGTCCAAGCTAGCAAACCCCAGAACACGGTGTGCTCCTTCACTCGTCTGTCACACTTGTTATAAGGGTGTCTCGCCGGGTGGGGCTTTGCTGTGTCTTTGGCTGAATTCTCAGATGAATACTGGAACGCGCACTGAATAGGTGCTTGGTAAGTATCTCGAATGCCGAATGAATGTGGCGTTCATGAAGTAATAGACATCTGGGTAAAGCTTGTGTGGAGGAGAGTGCGGGCAAAGAGCCCTACACTGAGATCCGGCTTAAAGCTGGGGGACCTTGGCCCACAGTGGTTCAGGAGTAAACTCCAGGCCATGAGCTGAGCGCCTTCAGTAGGAAAACCAGCACCCACTCATTGAGGGAGTACATGCAGTGTGGGGGAGACACCGCCCCTCCTTTCAGAAGACTCCCCCCCTGCTGTGGCACACTGCGCCCCAGGTCTCTGCTCCTGGTAGGGTGGGCCCGGGTGGCTGTGACTGGTCAAGGGCAGAGACTGTCAGTCCAGGTGGAGATGCAGTCCTCTTCTTGGAGATGGGTGGCTGAAGGGAAGGCCAAGACAGGCCAGGGCACTCTGGGGACCGGCAGGGCACCCCCGAAGCCACCGCCTGGCCTGCCCTGCCCTGCCCTGAGACCCCGGTGAGGTCCCTGGCAGCTGCTGCAGTGGCAGTTCCAGGCAGGGGTTCTCCAGGGTCAGGTGCAATCTCAGGAGGGAAGAGGGTGAGGCAATTCTTTCTTGGTCAGCCAGTCGCTAGAATAAAGAGAAGGGCCTAGTCTGGAGATGGGCCGTGGTGGAAGTCAGGTGGAGGCTGGCTGGCAAGTCCCTGGCCTCGGGTAGGTGAGTCAGGTCGGATGACACACCAACCACACACACAACCTTCCTCCATTGCCCACGCGAAGGGGAAGGAGGTGGTCTCATGACATACGTAGTTCTGGTGACAAAAGGAGGCAGCAGACTGAGGGGGTTCTGTGGTTTCCTGGGAAGCCAGGGAAGGTCCTCAGCCCACCGCACACTGGCTCTGCAGCCCAGAGCGAGCGCACGGCCACAGTGAGTTCCCTTCGCTGTCCCAGAAGGACATGTGCATTCTCAGGCTAGCTGGCAGTGTCAGATGACTTATGCCCGTGGCCCACGGCGAGCTCCCTTCACCGTTCCGGGGATGTGCGTTTTCTCAGGCTAGCAGGTAGTGTCAGGTGACACACTCGTTCCCTTCCTTCCTCCTGGGCACGTGGCAGGCTGCGCTCCACACTGTCCTCCTTCCCACGCTGTCATGCCACGTGGGGTGTGTTCCTAGGACCCTCCTCAAGAGAACAGCGGTGACCAGGTCCTCAGGGTCACCTTCTCCAGAAACACGAGCTTTGCAGGTCATGAGGGAAGGAGTCCTTGGGGGGACTGGTACAGCAAGCTGCAGGGCACAGAAGGCAGCACGAGGCCTCCGGGCAGACACACCTGGGCTCTAACTGGTGTTTTGCTTGATCAATGGACATCCATTTCCTCTGCCAGTGGGTAGACGCGCGTCTCTGGTTTGCCAGAAAGTTCGTGAGATGATACAGGCAAAGGGCCCAGGGCCGCGCGAGTCAACGGTTGTCAGTATTTGTTGTCATCAGTAACGACTCCCGGCCTTGGCCTCGCTGCACTGCCTGCACTGGAGAGGCTTACCGTTAGGCAGGGACCTCCAAGGGAGGGTGTCTAGCGTGGTGCAGAAGCTCCCTGACCTAGCACAAGATCAAACGCACCTCCGAGGGACTGCTCCTGTGGAAATTCGATGTGGGAGGTGGGGCTCAGCTCCTGCAGAAGGAAATTTGTTGTGTCGCTGTGGCGAGGTGAGGCTCTCCCCCGCATTCCTGGTGAGTGGGAGTGGTAGTAGAGTGAGGAAGCTCTGTGGAGCTCTGTGGAGCGAGAGTCCAGAACCTTGGCCAAACTCTACAAGGTAAGCATCGTTTTGGAAGTTGGCTGAGAAAATGAGGCAGCTGCTAAGCGCCGTCTTGTTTCAGAGCTCTTCCTGTTGACTTGCCTCTCAGGAAGAATGGCTCCTGTCTGTCGCCGGGTCTCAAACCCAGCTCTATGTCTTACCACCTGTGGGACTGGGGGAGTCACTTTCAAAGCGTCAGCGGCCTTAGAGAAATGAGGGTTGGTGGACTGATGATGTGGTTTTAGTGGAAGACGCTGGACAGACACACCGTGAGTAGCAGCTGCCACTGAGAATGGTCGAATCCTGATGAATACATTGGCCCCAAGGTTGAGATAACATCTCCTTAACCCTTTAGCTACTGTCTGTCACCAGGGCTGGGATGTCTCCGTAATTCTCTGTCATAACTTTGTCATTTCATTTGACCTTCAGTCTTTCTAGAATGATGACTTCCAGCAGGACCACACACCTTCATGGTCATGGTAGCCAGACACAGTTCTGTGGTTGCTGGGGGATATTTCATTCCAAAAACAAAACACAACGAAATTTGTTTTAGCGAGTGCTGTCACTTTCAGCACACTGTTCCCACCCACCGTGGGGGTGGCCTGGGAGCTAGGGCCCTTGTGGGGTCATTTCTACACTTGCTTCTCTTCTCATTGTCCTCTCCACCTCTCTTTTATTCCGAAAGTGCTGGCAGCCTTGCAATATT